ACTGGCTTCTTCCTTTGTGTTTTGCGGGTTTGGCAGTCCACTTGGGTTGCCGGGCTCGATCCGACAGGCTGGCGACCCCTTGCCGGACTTGGCGCTGGCCGGGGGACTGAGTCGTAACTGGAAGGATGGCCACTTTGGAGCTTAAGGTAACCCACGCGCCAAGAGCAAATCGAGCTTGTACCCTTTTGGTTCCCTGATCATGTTTCAGTGGCCACGAAAGGTGGGTATTTTCTGCCGTTGGGCAAGGGAGCGACGATGCCGGTGGTTGATTCGCCAAGGGCCATGCCAGGGGTTGTGTTCCTTTTGGTTTCCCTGTATACCAGAAAGGCTCAGAAAGGTACCCTTTAACCCACACACACACACAATTAATTGGAATGTAGTCAGGCTGCCCCTAGTCGGGGGGGGGTAAGGGAACCTGATAATTGGAATTGGCCAGTCCAGAATGGAGTTGCGTCAGGACCATATGGCGATCACTTGTGTAATTGTTTGGCCACTGGTTTGAAAAGAGCGATGTTTTTGGAGGCATACTGCTGACTAGAACTTAGCCATAGCCCGTGCCAGCCCGGGTAGATGGCTGGGGATGTCCAGCCTTTAGATGCTTGGCTCATCTTTAAGGGAACTCCGCTGATCTGTTCGGGGCAAACCAGAAGGAAACTAACCTATTTTGGAGGTCCTCGCGTTTTTCTGAGAACCCGCATGGTTTCGGGTAGACCCCGTTGGTTCGTGGCATCTTTCCCAGATGCCAATTACGAAAGTAGGCAACCCGCTTTCCGTTTACGAGAGTTTCCTCGTGCGCCAGTTGCAAAAGGATCGTACCAGGCGCTCAGAAACTCGGAATCGCTCCCCTGTGGCAACGGTTTCATGTTGTTTCCGTTCAAAGCAACCACCAACAGAGCTGCACTTCCTTGTGCTTGTGGCTCGACTTGCTGGTGCTCCGCAGGGAATGAGGGCATCACCCCCATAAACCATCCCTTGTGGCTTCCTTTCAGGAAATTGTCAGGTTCATTCCCTCATTACTTTCTGAAACCAAGCCGAAGAGGCCTACTACCAGATGAAGGGCGGCGATGCCAACCATATGAAGCAGGGCCAGGCTGTGCTCGGAGCCCCGGATGCCTCTCGCAGCTGAAATAGGTCCTGGGGGCTTCCCTGGGGATGAGACTTAATACTGGAAATGGGTGTGGCTTTTTTTGGGGGGGGGACCCCCAAAAATGGTGGTGTTCCTTTTGGTGTCCCTTGAACACCACAAAAAACGGGGTACCATCAAAAAGACAACCCCAAAATGATACTCAAACAATACTGAATCGATGCTGAAACAATGCTGTAATCCGACCTTTTGGGTTTTAGTTGCTGGTTCCACTCACGGGTGAAGCCTGGCCCCAAAGATGCGGCGTGTTTCAAAGGGACCACTTCTATTGCCACCCAGATAGTGCATCTGAAGCCCTTCCTCTCCGTGTTGACCTAGATTTCCCATTCTGCAGATTAGCAGGCGGATTTGTTGGTTCTCCCCCCCCCCCAAACAAAAAGAAAACAGGAAGAGAGAGATCCGGATCCTCGCAGGAATGGCCAGGTATCTATTCATCAGGTGCCTCCATGAAATGGGTTTCTGAACAAGCAATAACTGCACTTGCCCGACTTTGTATGTTGTTCGGGAGCTCTAGACACAGCAGGCCCATTTCAATTTCGGAAACCCCTGTGTGACAACACACAAACAAGTTCTACCTGGTGTCTCCTTCTGACTCCTAGCATTTCGTATGGGGGTTTCTCAAACTGGTTCCCTCAACTGACAAGGGTTTTCCCGGTTTCCCTTTTAAGTGCCAAAAAGGGGGTCCACCATTCTGAGACACACATGACTCATTTGTAGCGGGTCTAGCCCCGAACCGTGTAAAATCTGAGGTACGCTGACTTCACGGAGTACGAGGGGGAGTACTACCGAGGTGTTCCGCATGGCTACGGCAAGGCTAGGGCCCAACCGCATACCTGGCCCAGATGTCCCTGCAAAGTGCCGCAGCCCAATTAAATATAGGGAGATTCTCAACAGACATGGGCCCCCTTTTAGTGGGTATGCCAGGGAACCCCTATGAGAAACACCACATCCAACGGTCAGCCCTTCGGCTCGAAAAGGGGTGCCGCTTCTCCGGGTGAAAGGGGCGGAGGCGTGGCAATATGGGCGACTCGTCTTTTTTTGGCGTTGAGAGTTCTACCAAGAAAGCCGTTGCGCCGTTTTGGGGGGGTCGGATTCTCAGACAGACACCTGGCCGGTCAACTTTGCTAGGCACGCAAGGTGGTTCCCCTCCTGCTGGTCTTGGCAACCAAAAGCTTGAAGGGGCCGCCCTGGGTCTGCAATCTGGTTTGGAGTTTGCTTCGTCTTTGCTTTTCTCGTGTTTTTGCACACATCGGGCCAGAAAGCCGGAGAAACGCAAGTTAAGGCAAGCAAAACAATTAACAAGAAAAGCAACGTTACAGAACCCATGCTCCGCCCACCAAGCCACCAAGCCCCCCTTGGGTCCGCAATCTTGGTTTCTTTGTCGTTGTTTCATTTCTCGAGTTGTTTTTTTTTCCGTTTGAGACAGAAAACCAAAAGAACTGTCGAAAACAAGCAGCACACACACACAAAATACACACCCCATTATCTTCCCACAGGAGGCCCCTTTGCTGATAATTTGGCAGAATATAAGTAGAATGCGATAGGGACACAATCCAAGTGAAGACTCTGTTTCAAGTTAAAGTCTAAATAGGAGTTCCTTTCCAAATGTGGTGTATTCTGAAGTGTACCTAGAATTTAAACGGAGTTTGATGTCAAAGTCTCGTTGACTTTGCTGAAAAGTGCTTGTAGCTGCGTTCTGAATCGCTCAAAAGGGTCCTTGTTGTAACATGCTGCTGGTTGCTGCATTGCTTTTGCTCATTCAAACCAGAGTAGCTGAAATATCATGTTTGTGTTCATTCCTATTTGGCAATATAATTGGGGTAGAATTCAATCAGAATCCAGCAGCTTACATGGAAAGACAAGCTGGTTGTTTCTCTTAATTTGCCTGCCCATGACTGCCCCGTAAACAGGAGTGAACAACCAACATAATCTCAAGCAAAATGCAATTTCGTCTATTGGTTTACAAGCTGTGCAACGCTTTAAAAGCTTAACACATACTTTATTTAGAACTCAATTAACATAGTTCTGTCCAGGTAGATTCTCAACAGGACTTCAGCAGAATCGAAGAAGGAAAGACACGCTTGTTGTTTCTTTAACTTGCAAGCCCGTTGGAAGGAGTGACAGACGAAAAACAACCCATGGACATGTGCAAACTTGATTCCAACGGGTTGCAAGTATGTAGTTGCAAAGTTTGATTAGCATTCAGTGTAACCAGAATCTAGCAAGGAAAGACACGCTGGTGGTTTCCGCTTAGTTCACTTGTGCGTCTCATTATTTCCAAGTATCTGAGACTTTAACTTGATTCTAATTGCAATTTGAACAGCATCTGGTAAGGAAAGACAAATTGTTTGTTTTGGGAGAATATAATATAGTCATTACATTCAATTAGATGTTTAATAGTTTTTGTTTAACTATTGCGTATCTCGAATTTGACTTTTTGAGTAGCTAGGAATTCCTTTCAACACAATCTAGTAAGGAAAAACAAGCTGGTTGTCTTCCATTTCTCTTGCCCCTTAAAAGGATAACACTTCAAAGACCGAAGCCAACACCTCCAAACAAAACACACGAGAACCAACAAAAGGCACAACACAAAGAGCAACAACCTCGATCAAACCAAGAAACATGCCTCGAGAAAAACAACACACAAAACCAAAACGCGAGACAACCAAAAGGCAACAACGGCAAAATCATGTTTCCAGGACTGGCTTCAATATGAGGTTGTCCAAACAGATTTTATTCATGCTGTGTCTCTGTATTGCGAGGTGTTTTGCTTCTTGGCATTCTCTTAGTTTTTGTTGGTTTTCTCTGTAAAGATGTTTCTCCTGCATTGGGTGGAGCTTGGCAATTGGCCAGCTTGACCCACGGGAAGACTGCAAGCATCAACACGCGCAAAGAGCGCACTACCGGGGTCCCCTGTTTTGTATTGTTTAAGGCTCAAGAGTATAGGAGTCTAATTGTATTTCCGATGTTGAATTATATTTTGACTAGAAACTCCTTTTCAAAAAAAAAAAAACATGTTCATTTGTGTATATATATATATATATGTAATCAAGACATAGTTAGGATTTTTGGACAAGGCAACCATTTCGCTATATATATTGTTTACACTAACAACATAGTTGAACTTATTTTCCTTGGATTTCTATTGGAGATTCTCACTTTTGTCAAGGGGCAGGCCAATTAGAAGACACAACGCGGCTTTCTTCCTGTACTAGTATCCTTATCCAATTAAAATCCAGCTAATCTCAAGCAAAAAACGATATTTGGAAAGGACTTCCTATGTAGCTATTATTGAATTGTTTCATTATTAATAAGTTTAACTTGAACTTAAAGTCACGTTTGTCAAAATCCGTTGGAAATGAGATCCTTTTCCAACAAATGCCAAAGCAAAAGTGCTCCAGGAACAAAACAACACAAACTTGTCTCAACCTCCATGTCTACGAAGCCGGCCAAGGAACAATCGAGCAAGTCAAGCACATTGAAGTTCAGGAATGTCCGCAGATGGCTGATCAGTTTGGTGCGATGTTCATGGAAGCTGTCGGTCTGTAGCCAGGTTCCATGCTTCAAACAGCGCCCTCCCACAGCCCACAGCGTCCTGCTCTCCCAGACAGGCCTCTTCTGCAGGAATAGCACGGATGGACCTGGACACAAATAAGAGACCTTTCGGCCGATCATCGACAAAGACAAGCCGTGCTGCTCTCCAGATAGGCTTACATGCGTTTTCTTTGCGCCAGTTCCCGACCCCCAGTTATCACTAGCTGTAGGGGGTTTCTCTGTTGAAAGGAGTCTTTGAGACGTTTCTTCTGGTTTCCAAGGAGTTTCTTCTGGTTTGATCATGTTTGATCGCTCTGGCCAGATGGTGCAGTACGACCACCAGGATGGCAAAAAGGTGGAAGGCGCTCCATGCGAGGGCCTCCGGCCGGGTCGCCCCCCAAACTCGAGCACCTAAGCGCAATGGGTCTGGCCTTTTTGTTTTAACGGTACCCGCTTTGGTGTGGAATGAAAGGGAAACCGGGAGAATCATCAACTTGGGGTCCCGGGAAAGGGGGGGATTTGTGCATTAGTTTTGTTTCAGGGGCCAAAACACAGCCTGAGGTCTTTGGCAGACCGTGTTCGATGCTTTGTGAAACCAATTCTTTCGGACACCCCCCTGTTTGGATTGCTTTGTGGTTTGCCCGGTTGCTTCACTCAGAAAATGCCTGCCCCAACTTGTTAGCGCGA